GCAGCAATACAAGTCTCATGGCTGCAGCGGCTGCAGCTGCAGCGGTGGCGGCAGCAGGCGGACCTCCAGTTCTCACTGCTCAGACCAACCCCTTTCTCAGCCTGCCTGGGGCAGATGCCAGTGGGAATGGCCCCAAAGGAGGGGTGAGTAAGGGACCTGGGCCTTCCTATATTCCTATGGGACAAGCAGAAGAGGATGGTTATAGCAACATCATCAGATATGTTTCTAGTGGGAGGTGGGAACCCATAGGTCAACCTGATAGCCTGCTGCAGACAGCAGGACCTCAGCTTCCATTGGTGTTCCCTTAGAGGAACTGAGCAGGTACCAGTAATAAAGGGACTACTCAGAAAACAGCCATCCAGCCTGGTGATGGCCCAGGGTGTAAAAAAAATAGAAGAAAAGGTGTTTGCTACCAAGCCGGGTGACCTGAGTTTCATCCCAGTGACCCATGTGGAGAGAGAGAACTGATCAGAACACTGTGCTCTGCTGTCCACACACGTGTGTGTACACACATGCACATACACTAAAGAAATATATATTTTTGTTTTGTTTTAAATTCTTTTTTTAAAAAGAGAACAGCCTTCTATGGGAGGAATAGTTAGGAAGGACGTTTCTGTGTACAGCAGTTAGAGAAAGATGACTCTTACATGGGCGCACAGAAGAAAAGGCCTTCCTTGGAGGGCCAGCCTGCGCCTAAGAACCCAGCTTTTGGCACATACTAGACACCTCCTCAGCCCACAGATTATGCCCTAGGCAGTGGCCTAGCCAACTCATCTTCTCCTTCAGCAGCCTTTTCTACCTTTGAGGCTCTGAAAGTTCAGCTGCTAGGACTCGAACCCTTGTCCAGGCTTGGAAAAGCAGACAGTGAGCCGACTCTCTTGCCCACAAAACAGTTTTGTTTGTTTGTTTTTGTTTTTGGAGGCAGTATCCCACCAGCCTTGATTGGTCTTGAACTCACAGAAAGCCTCCTGCCTTTGCCTCTTGAGTACCACCACACCCAACCCATAACCTATCAGGACCGGGTATCAAGATTCCCCCACCCCTACTAAAGCCTTTCTTCCTGTCTTTCCAGACCGCTGACAAAGGAGCCTCAGCCAGCCAGGAAAAAGGCTAACTCTACTCTGCCCCCCCTGACCCCTAGTTGGCTCGAGGGTCCTTGCCTGGAGTGGACACCTGGGCCCAGACTCTGGAGAGTGGGCCCAGAGCCTGTGTGACCCGCAGGGATATGTATGTGCCTGGAGTTCCAGGTGCTGAGGAGAGAGACTGGAGGAGCCCGTCCACCTGGCCTACCCCCTCACTGCACTGGCTGCTTCAGAGAGGATCAGGGGAGGGCAGGCTCCTAGCCTGCCTAGGAGCCCCCATCCTCTGCTGATGCCTAGGGGCCCCCAAAGAGCAAAGTAGGTCTTGGCATAAGACTTGGAGGGTTGGACCTACCACATAAACCAATCAGCACTTGAATGGGGAAGGTGAAGGGTGGGCCCCGTGCCTATCCCTGTGTGGAAATTCCTTACGGAAAAAGGGCTGGTCCCACCTGACCTTCAGTTTCTTCCCAGCAGAAGGGATGCTCCCTTTGACTGTTTCTTATCACCCCTCCCCGCTGAGGGTCACAAGCTGAGCTTGGAAAAGCCTACAGATGTGGGGGGCTAAGGAAGGGCAGGATAGCACCTCTTGGGGCCCCATGATGGGGCTGGGCGGGGATGTCCCTTGCTGTCCTTGGTGTCCTGCCCCTTTTTGCACTATTGGCTTGAGGAGTGCCGAGGGTGGGGAGAGGGAGCTGCCTGACTCCACAGATCGTGAGTGTGTGAGTGTGTGTGTGTGAGAGAGAGAGAGAGAGTGTGAGTGTGTGTGTGTGTGTGAGTGATGGTCAGTCTGTTTAACCTGTCTGTCAATTCTTCCTCTGGACCTGGGGCAGCCAAGGGCAGGGACAGGAGCAGTGCCAGTACGGGAGCAGGAGCTCCTAGCTCTTGTACTCTTCGACCCCTCACTAACTCTGGTCCTTTCCCAGGGCATGAACGGATAACTTATTAAAAAAAAAAGAAAAAAGAAAAAAAAAACAGACCAGTACTCCAGTATTGGAGAATTCTTAGGGGCTGGGGGCTCTGAATCAGGGTAGTATCCTACCTTCTCTCCCCTGGACCCCACTCCATCTCAGGGCCCCCTCAGGGCCTCCTCCCCCACTGTTAGTTTGATGGTCCTGGCACAAGAGCTTAGGGGAGGGGTAAAGAGCCACTTCTTTGTCGCAGAAGTCTCCCTCTCTGCAGTAGCTAGCCTGCCTCTTGAGTCCTTTCACCAGCTAGTAGAGCCACTTAAGCTAACAACTGTCCCTTCACCCACCAGCTATTTTCCAGGGTGTAGTAATAGGTGACAGAGACTTTCTGCCCAGGGCAGTAATGAAAAACGTTGAGTGGGACACAGAGCACCGCCACGGAAGTCTGTGTCCCTTTCGGTTGCACTGGCTGGGACTGAGGGTCAGTTCCAGTTCCCCTTGCTCATGTCTGTGGGTCTCTGCATGTGTGCATTTTGGTGTGTTTATGTTTGAGTTTCGTTTTTGGGGTTTTTTGTTGATTTTTTTTTTTAATAAAGAAAAGATGTGTATATTTTTGGCAAGGACAGAAACGTAGTGCAGATATATTTTTTGCCTGTGCTGCTCGACTTTTTTCCCCCCCTCTGATCTCAGAAACAATATTCCTGTTGATAAGGCTGTAAGATGTTAGGACAGGCCGGGACCCTTCAGAGGCAAACTCTTTGGCACTTGGAAGGGTTTTGGGATACAGTTGAGATGACCTCAGAAATACTCTTCTAATTGTTTAATATTAGAAAGACATCTTCGTCTTTTCAGCTCTTGTAGACTTGTCCACAAGGCAGTGATGGTTCAGATTCTTAGATGACCTTTTTATCCAGGCCCACACCCTTGTCCCACTCAGAACCTGCCTTGTGGTGTTTGATAAGGTGTTTGACAGGTGATCACCTGTGGAGAAGGGGTTCAGTTCTGGAGCTCAGCAACTCCCTGAGCTCCTTTCCTACTCTGGCCCAGGATACCCCGGCAGGAAGTCACGTTAGGCTTGCTGAGAGCTGTGGGCTGTATGGTTGGGTGCTGCTCCTCTTTGGGAGGGATTTTTCAAGACAGTTTTCTCCGTATAGCTCTGGCTGACCTAGAACTGGCTCTGTAGACCAGGCTGGCCTCAAACTCAGATCTGCCTGCCTCTGCCTCCTGAGTGCTGGGGTTGGAGGTGGGCGGTGGTGCTACTCCATCTACTGAGACCTGAGCTGTGACTTGGTGGAGCGTCACAGGAACATTATGAGGGTCCTTGAAAGGGAGCAGGACACTGCAAAATGGCTCTGACAACCTCACGCTTTTTTAAAAAAATTTTTTTGACAAGATCTACTCTTACGTAGCTTTGGTTGTCCTGGAACTTGCTATGTAGAACAGGAATGGCCTCTGCCTCCTGAGTGCTGGGATTAAAGGCGTGTGCCACTATGTCTGGCTTTTTTTTTTTTTTTTTTTTTTTTTTTTTTTTTTTTTTTTTTTTTTTGATAAAGAGCTTGGTAGAAGGAGGGAAAGGATGCAGATTTGGGGCCATCTCTGTCTGGGAGGGGGAGGATGTGGTTTGCAGAGCGGAAGTAGAGTCTGAGAATGCATGAGTAGATCTTAATGTCACCACCCTCAGTGAGAAGAGGTGAGGGAGTGACATGATCAGCCTGTGCCCACGAGGGGTGGGGGGGGTGGTCATAGTTGGCGGATGTCAGAAGGGACCTGGCTGTATTTTGGGGTCATTTGAGCTGGCTTTACAGGTGACTGTTCTAAGCCTAGGAGCGACAGGACCTCAGTAACAGCAATGACGAGCCTTTGTTCCTGACCTTCTGGTCATAACTGCCCCACTGTCAAGCCTTTTAGCTGCAGCTGGTTGGCTGGCTGTCCCTGTGTGTGTGGTGGGTGTGTGGCGGTGTGAGTGCCAGTGGCGGGAAGGTATCTATGTAGCACTGACTGTCTTAGCTCTGAGCTGACGAATCCTCCACAGACAATGACACTTTAAGGGTTGCCTTTAAGAGAAGAAATAAATTGTATCTCCCATCCCCCTCCCTCATCCCAGCTTGTGGGTTTCTCCCTCAGGCTCCTGGGTCTACTGCTGGCCCTGGGTAGCCTGATCATGAGGCTGGTGACCCCTTCCCTTCCCTATGTTGAGACCCAGGGAGTCCCCACCCTAGACTCCTAGGAAGGGCCTAGACAAATGAAGGGAGTGCAAAGAGAGACTAACATTTCCATTTCCTTTTCCCACCCTGGAAATTCTGACAGGTTTTCAGAGACACAGGCTTGCCTTGCTAGTCTCTGTTATCCTAAGAGTGCAGTAGCCCAAAGGGAGTAACAGGCAGCTGGTGCCTAGGGAGGGGTGCCCAATAGAATGGAGGGAGCCCCTCTGTTCTCTCCAGCCATGTCCTGGATTACAGGTGAGTCTAGTTCCCAGCAGACCACCTTGTCTTGACCTACTGAAGAGCTGGGGACTGAGGGCTGTCCTCTCTCTCCTGTGTTCACTTTCTCCAGCCTCACTTGGGACTGGAGACCAGAAGGACTCTGGCTCCCTTTCTCCCACCCCAGCCTGTTTCCATGTAGCAGACCTTTCCTGGGGGAGCAGGAAGGGAAGCCACAGATTGCAAACCCAGGGGCTCATTTTTCATTCTTTCTGAAACCTTTATATCCTCAGCCCAAGAGGCAGTGTTCCCCTGCGACCTCCAAGCCTGGAATTGTGCATAGCCTGGGTCTTGTATCTTTGTATAACGGATGTTATTTGTACGAAGGGCAGTTCGTAAACAGCACTTGTTCTTTTAATAAAAGAATGTTTTACTAAAAAAAGAAAATCCAAAGAGACCTTGCTTTGTCTGGCTTCATTGTAGGGAGGGAGATGGGTTGCCAGCTGTGGAGCCCTCTGGGCGGAGGACAGGATATGGGCAGTGACCCTTTTTCTCAAGTACTTGTAAGAATAGTTCAGACCGCAATGCACAGTATGTGCGGTGCAGGTGAAGATGCAGACATCCGAGCCCTGCAGAGTGATAGATCCCCACACTGCCTTGGACTCTGTAGGGCCAGGGCGGCACCTGCCGGATCCAGGGCGACCCAGCCCTGCCCCTCCTGTGCGGGGCCAGGCGGTGTCTTCCTTGGGGGCGGAGCGGAGAGGGCGGCGACCCGGACGCGGCGACGCGCAGAGCGGCCATGCGCAGCGTGAGGACGAGCCTGCATGCTGTGGTCATGCGCGGCGTCTGGGTGAGCGTCCTCTCTTTGGTGACCCCGGGCCGTTCGGCCCCGCCTCCCCGGCCCAGGTCAGGCTCCACCCCTCGTCCCCACGGGGCAGTCTTTTTCCGGAGGGAGCGCCCGAGTAGATGCCAAGATCTCCAGGGTCTCTTCTTTGACCCTTTTCCCAACGGTTTTTTTTTTTTTAATAGCTCCCACGCTCCTTTGGCCTGTGGTCTTTCCCTTCCCTGATGGGCTTCCGGCGTCTTCCCTTCTCCACTGATTTTATTTTTCTGTTTCCAAATCACTTCGGCCTGCCTGCCTTGTCGAAGCTGTGTCAGAGGCGGGAAATCTCCTCTTGGCTGGTGAGTACATCTCACGTCTTCTCTCAGCACAATTGTCATCAATTCCCCAAGCTACATCAAAGACAGCAACAGGGACACCCTTGCTCCCAGCATGCTCTAGGGAAGGTTTGGCGGACCGGAGGACAGAAAGGAAGGAGCTAGGCTGAGGGGAGGACAGCCACCTGATAGGTCAAGCCCCAGAGTTTGAAGAAAGTTATTGGACCCTGCCGACTAAAAGTACATCCAAGGCTTGCTTGGGATGAACCTGAGCTACTCGTCCACCTATCGTCATAGGCCCGATGGTTCCCCAAAGACCCAGCCAAGCCAGTGGTGGCACAGAAAACACCCATCAGGTTGGAGCTGGTTGCCGGGAAAACCTACAGGTGGTGTGTATGTGGCCGAAGCAAGAAGCAGGTGAGTTATTCCTGTAGCTTTTCACTCACGTGTGACACATCCTACGGTTATACCGTCCTGAACAAGCCTGATCTCAGAAGCTAACAGGGCCAGGCCTGCCAGTGTGACATCCGTCCCCTCCACTGCCATCTTGCTTGGGGTCAGCGTGGTATATCCTGGGAACTTCCGGGCCGTCCACCTTTCCCTTCCCTGTATATATATACCCCTGAGATAACAATTAGGGGGTGGGGTTTGGTGGCAGGAACCAGCTCACAGGCCAGGGACACCGCCATCGGGATGGGCATTGTGGCCGTATGCACATGTCCCACTCGAGAAGCAAACGAAGCACGGAAGTGGACGGTGGCTCTTCGGTAACGACCACAGCTCCGTGGCTGGCTCAGTCTTCTCTCCTCGAAGTTCTGCCTCGTGTGTATGTCTGGGCTCCAGCTCCAAGACACCAAGGACTTGTCTGTCCTCCTTCCAGGCAGCATCTCTGCCCATGTGCCAGGCTTTGGACCTCACAGATTCTGTTCAGTCTTCCCTAGTGTCCCCTCCCAGGTCTCTTTCCTCTCTTTTCACCTTGGATGTGACTTTTCCTGCTTGCCTTCTGATGCCATTCCAGCTGTAGCCGGAGCCTCGCCCTCTCCTGGAGAACTCTACCCCTTTTCCCATGCAGTGGCTGGGATGATAAACCCAGCTCTGGAGGCTCACTTACTTTGTGGCCTTTGGACAGATATTCCAGAGGGTGGGGCAGTTTCAAGGGCATGCCAGCCAGAGGACTGTGGGTACATGCCCATGCCTGTTAGGCAGGGTGCTGGCTTTCACCAGTATGTCTCTCCTCATACTCTGCCCTGACAAGGCCTCGCCCCTTTTTGGGTCTCGGTTTTCACCATCCTCGCTTTGAAGGGTTCTCCTGAGAGACATGGTGCTTATGTTAATACTACTACTCCAGGCAGGCAGGTTGTTGTGGAAACCCCGTTTGCTTATTGTTTCCTGTAGCCAGGCAAGACTGAGTCCACCCTGGAAAGGCACTGGGACGCTGGGCTCTCTCCCACCTTGAGGAACATTGCAAAGAATGTCGCTTTTGAATGTTGCTTTCATGGGCCAATGGGGATACACCTAGCCATTAAAAAAGAAAAACAGTAACTGAGGCTGAGGGTGGGATTATAACCGTGGATGGAGGAAGCCCAGACGTGGGCGGAAGCCCTGGAGCCTGTCCCTACCACTTAGTACACAGGGTGTAGCAACCCATATCTACGGTCCTCGCCCTCGGACGGTAGAGGCAGGAAGACTGGAGTTCAAGGTAGGTCTGGGTCACATGAAAACCTGGCTGGCAAGATGCTTTGAGGGAAAGGTACGGTCCACGCAGCCTGCATGGTGAAGGAAAGCCAAGTCCCCACAAATTGTTCTGTGACTTTTTGTGCACAAGACACACACAAATTTTAAAAATGTAAAAGCCAAACAGGAAATGCCAACCTTTTAATGTCATATGATATGGGGGGGAGGGGGACATTGCCTGTACCTGAGGCTGGTTTCCTCTTGCAAATTGTCTTGGCCTTCTGGATCTCCCAAAGGTGAACAATGAGAAATGCCTGCAGGTCTGTGCAGAGACATTCTTCTCCCATAATGCCTTCCTATGACCCCCACATTGTAGGACTCTGGGGAAATGATAATGCTCCCCCCCCCCCCCAACCTCTCTCTCTCTCTCTCTCTCTCTCTCTCTCCAGCCCTTCTGTGATGGCTCCCACTTCTTCCAGCGCACTGGCCTTTCCCCACTCAAGTTCAAGGCCCAAGAGACACGTACAGTGGCCCTCTGTACCTGCAAGGCCACGAGGCGACCCCCTTACTGTGATGGCACCCACAAGAGCGAGCAGGTACAGAGAGCAGAAGTAGGCTCCCCACTCTGAGGGGAGCTGGGATTCCAGGCCTCCTCCAGGCTTCCCTTCCTTGAAGGGAAACGCTGCGCTATGCACAGAAGGGAAAACCATCCAAGGACCACATCTTCTGTACCCTGAACAACCTGTCCTCTCCTGTTGGGCAGCTGAGACCAGCCCCTGGGTCAGCATCTGGTAAAGCTGTCATTAAACACTTGAGGCCCACCCTTTAACTGTCCCTGTGGTCACTTTCAAGGCTCACGGGTCTTCTGCTAAAGTGGCAGAGGGTATCTGGTGACCAAAGTGGGATAGTTCAGATCCACTCCGGTTAGCACAGTAAGATTGGGGAGCACCATGCTCCTCTTCTTCCTCTTCCTCCTCCTCCCTCTGTCCCAAAAAACCACAGGCTCAAGAGTGTACACCGCATTTATTACAAAGCCAAGAGATACAAAGGACAGGAGGGTACAGTCACAGGACCGCAGACTCAGGACATGGTGCAAACAGACCCATGGGCTCAGAACCTCACACACTAAGCCAATACCCTGTCCTCCTCCCCCCTCCCCCAGATCTATGTACACTTGAGGAAAAGCAGGTGAGCAAGGTCGAGTTGGGGTCAGCTCATTCTCTATTTTCTTGTGCTTCTAGATGCATCTGTCCTGTCCCTGCCTGGCCTCAGCTGGGGATGAGGAAGTGGACTGGAGAGCTGTTGGCTTTTGGCAGAACTGGAGTCTGTGCTTGTCTGGGGTTATCCACCCCAACCCTCTACTCTAGGCCCCCAGTGTCACCTCCAGTCTTGCTAGATTAGGTTCCTGGCTCAGGGTAGGGCAGGAGAAAATGAAGTGTTCACAATGTCAAAGTCACACATAGACTTTATAGGGCTGGGGTCTCCCACAGGAGGGAAGGGGGTGGAGCAGAACTATCAATTCTTTGTACAAGGTTTCCACTGTCTGAGGAGGTGAGGGAAATGCCTTCTCCACAGCCACTTGATCCTCGCTGCCAGAGGACAAACTGTACTTGTAAAAAGGCACTGTCTCAGCAACTCTGAACATTCAACAATGGGGGGCTTGGACAGGGATGGGGAACAGCCAAGATGGACCCCCTAGTCAGCTAGAGCTAAGGGACCCAACATGCCCTCCACCCTGGAAAGCAGAAAGAACATAGGGAAGGACATTAATACTTCCAATGGCCCCTTAAGACCACCAGGTTACCCCTCCCTCCCCAGAAGAGCAGAGTGAACTACAAAGACCTCCCTAGACCTAGACACCCCCCCACACCCATACACACACACACACACACACACACACACACACACACACACACACACA